AAGGCTCTGGTCAGGATGGGCAGGTCTGTCAAAACATTCTACCCCCCCTCTCAATACTTTACCTTTCCTCCGCAGGAAACCCAGGACCAGGACGACGCTAAGAGGGGGGGGGGGGGGGGGTGTAGCGAGCACACACATGCATATAGGCATATAAACCAAGCCCACGCCAGAGGAAGACGAGCTTCATTCTACTTATGACTCCCTGCGCTAATGCTTGTCTCTCTGTCTCTCCTCCACAGCAGACTCCAGCTCGTGACGATCCCACACCCGACTACTCACTGTCCTTCACCGACTTCCCGGAGCACCAGAGCACCTCACCTCTAAGAAGAGCACCATATTCACACCCTGCACTTGTAAATAAAGCACCCTCCGGGGACTAGTCTGTAAACTCATCCAACTGTGTCGGTGTTTTCCCTCTGCCTCGTTACACTAATATAGTCATTTTGTTTCAGCCAGGTTTCAGTGAGACAGAGTACTTTAAGATTGTTTTCTGTTATTATTTCATTTATGATAAGTGCTTTAGGTGCAAGTGACCTGATGTTTAGGAGACCAAGCTTTACGAAATTTGTATTTTTACTTTCTACTGGTTTTTCTGGTTTGATTCTTAATAGATTTTTTTCTGGAGCACACAGTACGTTTATTTCTTAATCTAATAATACGAGGAACAGACACAGTCTCTATAGGATTCACCAGATATGCATTACTGATGTTTAAGTGGGACGAACAAGAGTCTAGGTGGCTATAATATGAATTTTGTGAGTTTTTACAGTGCAGGCCGTCAGCACGGAAGAGCCTAGGACGCTCTCAGAAAAGATTCCAGTTATTAGCAAAGAGCAATTTCTGTTCTTTACACCATGTTAATAGCCATTCATTCAGAGCAAAACGTCTACTGAACCTTTAATTTCCTCGGCGGTAGGTAGGAAGCGGCCCAGAAACGATGATCTACAAGGCGGGCGAGGTACGTCGAACCGTCTCCATCAGGCTCCTGAAGTCCTTCTTCAGGATCTCCGACTGCCGGAGCCCGGTGTCGTTTGTCCCCACGTGGAGGACAACGGCACCAGGGCACTCGGCAGCGCCCAGGATGGTTGGAATCTGTGTAGAAATATTTCTCACACGGGCACCAGGAAAGCAGAAAGTACGTACTTTATTACCTTTTGAGGAGGCGGCATGGACGTGACGAACGATCGAGTCACCAATGATGGCCACGTCGAAACCCAACTCGCGGAGAGGGGAGAAGCAGTTCTCCGTGGAGATCTCGAACACGGGAGGAGGAGACGTTCTGCCCCGGGATCTGGCAAGCACCTTACGCGGCTGCACCCAGGCGCCGTGGTAGCTGGGTGTCGGCGTGAACGACGCCTGGCCGAGCCGCGCCCCGGGTGCGCTGGGCCTGAACAGAGAAGGACGCGGGGTTGAGGTAGAGGGAATGATGTGGTTGTAATTTCCACGTACCTTAGATGATGAGGCGACCATAGCGTTAGGTACAACAAGCGACGCCCATTGTTCTCGTAGCTGCGTCCGCCTCACCAGAAGTGCCCGGATCTGGGACTCCACTTCTTCCAGCTCCAGCTCCAGCGCCTCCATCGATGCTTCTCCTGCACACAAGGACAGAGACGCAAGCGACATTTTACGGGGTAAAGAGCAAGGCCGGTAAGTCAAAAGTGTATGGTAAAAGAGGTCGGTAGCTTTAGCTGACCAGCGGCGCTAGCAGGCTAAGCTACAAACAACAGGCGGATGCTCGAGGGACAGACCGTTTTAAAGCAGTTTTGTATGTATAAATGTATCAAGGGTTTGTTCACCCTAAGTAGGAGAGACAAATACTTAGCGAATGAGGAAGAATTGTATGATTAAAATTTAAATTGCGAGTAAAATAGCGAGTCCAATCTTCAAGCACACGCAGTAGGCGACGTCGGTGATGTCACTCGAGCATGCGCAGAATTAAAAAAAAGGTGTGAAAGATGCAAAAAAAGAGTTTTACCCAACATGACTATGCTGAGGGCTGGAGGAAGAGAATGAACGAAGCTTACAAGCTGGCTTCAAGAGTGTCACTCAATGAAAAAGAACAAGGAAAAGCTTTATATGACAAGAAAGTAAAAGGGGCTGAATTGGTTCCTGGTAACAAAATTCTTGTCCGTAACTTCAAGGAGAGAGGTGGACCTGGAAAGCTTAGGCCATTCTGGGAAGAGCAAATTTATGTGGTTACTGAGAGAAAGTAAAAAAAATTCATTTTGAAAACGAAATGCATTGATTTTATTTTTTTGCTGTTTGAAACAACTAACACTCATTTGGGGGATGGTGGGTCTCTAGCGGGGGGGGTCTTTGGAACGACCGCTGGCAAACGCTATGGATAAGCTCACCGGGGGCGTTGGTTAGACCCAGGGGAGAGCCCACCAAGCCATGCCCGGATAGAGACCACTCTCTCCGGCATGACCCGCGCCTGGAGGGGGGGGTAGCGCGTCCCTGGGTTTCGCTGACCTGCCGTCAAGTTTTCGATAACAGACACATATGAAGGACTTAGTGCAATTTCCGATTTCGCGGTTGATCGAACCAGGCCCCAGAGGCATTCAAAGAAGCCCCAGGAGATGCGTTCGAACCCGGGGGAGCTAGGTGCGCGTTACTGCCCTGGTTCAGCCAAAGACCCAGGCCTCAAAGGCATTCAAAGAAGCCCCAGGAGATGCGTTCGAACCCGGGGGAGCTAGGTGCGCGTAACTGCCCTGGTTCAGCCAAAGACCCAGGTCTCAAAGGCAATCAAAGAAGCCCCAGGAGATGCGTTCGAACCCGGGGGAGCTAGGTGCGCGTAACTGCCCTGGTTCAGCCAAAGACCCAGGCCTCAAAGGCAATCAAAGAAGCCCCAGAAGATGCGTTCGAACCCGGGGGAGCTAGGTGCGCGTAACTGCCCTGGTTCAGCCAAAGACCCAGGCCTCAAAGGCAATCAAAGAAACCCCAGGAGATGCGTTCGAACCCGGGGGAGCTAGGTGCGCCCTACTGCCCTGGTTCAGCCAAAGACCCAGGCCTCAAAGGCAATCAAAGAAGCCCCAGGAGATGCGTTCGAACCCGGGGGAGCTAGGTGCGCCCTACTGCCCTGGTTCAGCCAAAGACCCAGGCCTCAAAGGCAATCAAAGAAGCCCCAGGAGATGCGTTCGAACCCGGGGGAGCTAGGTGCGCGTAACTGCCCTGGTTCAGCCAAAGACCCAGGCCTCAAAGGCAATCAAAGAAGCCCCAGGAGATGCGTTCGAACCCGGGGGAGCTAGGTGCGCGTAACTGCCCTGGTTCAGCCAAAGACCCAGGTCTCAAAGGCAATCAAAGAAACCCCAGGAGATGCGTTCGAACCCGGGGGAGCTAGGTGCGCCCTACTGCCCTGGTTCAGCCAAAGACCCAGGCCTCAAAGGCAATCAAAGAAGCCCCAGGAGATGCGTTCGAACCCGGGGGAGCTAGGTGCGCGTAACTGCCCTGGTTCAGCCAAAGACCCAGGCCTCAAAGGCAATCAAAGAAGCCCCAGGAGATGCGTTCGAACCCGGGGGAGCTAGGTGCGCGTAACTGCCCTGGTTCAGCCAAAGACCCAGGTCTCAAAGGCAATCAAAGAAGCCCCAGGAGATGCGTTCGAACCCGGGGGAGCTAGGTGCGCGTAACTGCCCTGGTTCAGCCAAAGACCCAGGCCTCAAAGGCAATCAAAGAAGCCCCAGTAGATGCGTTCGAACCCGGGGGAGCTAGGTGCGCGTAACTGCCCTGGTTCAGCCAAAGACCCAGGCCTCAAAGGCAATCAAAGAAGCCCCAGGAGATGCGTTCGAACCCGGGGGAGCTAGGTGCGCCCTACTGCCCTGGTTCAGCCAAAGACCCAGGCCTCAAAGGCAATCAAAGAAGCCCCAGTAGACGCGTTCGAACCCGGGGGAGCTAGGTGCGCGTAACTGCCCTGGTTCAGCCAAAGACCCAGGCCTCAAAGGCAATCAAAGAAGCCCCAGGAGATGCGTTCGAACCCGGGGGAGCTAGGGGTCCATTGCTGAGCTGCTAAGCCGCCCCCCAGCGCTCATATTCCCGCAGCAAACATAAGACCCCACCGCTGACGGAGGCTAAAACGACGTGCGGCTGGTGCCCCATACACGAGCCCAGGGCCGGTGGTGACCCATTCACAAACCCAAAGACCGATTGGGCCACCAGCGGTACGTCTTGGCCAGTTGGGTCACCAGCAGCACGTCTGTCTGATCCATGCGGTTTGGAGGAGTTAGTGTCCCCGGGCTTAATAGTGGGGTGCCCGGGCACGGCTGGTGATTAGGTGCAAATCTAGGGGGTCCTTTGGAACCAGCTCTTGCCGCCGGAGAGTGTGTGTGCCTCGGGCAGAGCGCGCAAGGCACAGGCCCCCCCCAACGCTGGATCTCAGAGGCCCCATCAATGGTTCACCAGCGGCACATCTTTACGCATCTAGCGCCAAAGGTCCAACAGGAATACGTTATGCCTGGCGCTCACCGGGGCGTTGGTTAGACCCAGGCCCGAGCCCACCAAACCATGCCCGACGGGAGACCACCCTTCCCGGCCTACTTGTCGGGACGTCCCGCGCCTGGAGGTTTTTGCCCGACACCCACAATCTCTGACCTGCCATCAGGGTTTCGGGGAAGGCGTAAAAATATGGACTTAGTCTCTGACAGTCCAGTCGCCAGACCCCACGGTGACTGATCGATAGGAGCTAGTGTGGCGCCCCAGGGGCTAGGCCCCCACCCAGGCCCCCCAAAGCACCAATGGGGTCGGCCTCTATGGGTGTGGCAGATCCTCCCCGTCCTGGGCGCTGTATCAGGGAGGCGTGGGGGTGTCCCTCCGCACACAGCGCCCCCCTTCCCGCCCCGATCTGTGGGTAAAGGACCCAGATGGCCCGTCTGGCTAAATGACCCAGAGCTTGTCTGCTGCTCAGCCCGCCCGCCAGCCCGCCCCCCTGGACTCCGTTTCCCCCGCGCCGATACTCGGCCCGTGCCCCCGCCCCCCACGCCCTGCGAGGGCTGGGGGATGTTTGGTGGGTTCGGTCGAGTCACCCGGCGTGGTGAATCGAGGCCCCAGGGGCAGCGTAGGGAACGAGCTGGTGTGGGCTTCGATTCTACCCCCGCCCGAGTGTGTGCGTCTGCATCCCGTCCGTCCGCCCGCAACGCCGCCCACCCCCTGGGTTTATCCTTGCTGGCTCCCGGCTGACCCCCACCCCGCCTACCCTGCTCCAGGGGGAGTGAGGGTGGTTGGTTGGGAGGGGAAGCTAGTGGACTCCGGCGAGGTGAAACGTGCCAGGGTCAGTGGTGCCGGGGTTACGGGCTGTCTGGACCCCCCTTTCGATGGTTGGTGCGTATTCCATGTTGGTTGTAGCAGGTCACAAAAGCTCCCGCGGCTGGCGCGTGTGGAGCTGTCCCCCCCCCCCCCCCCCCCCCAATGGGGCTCAAACAATCCCCGTTTTGGGGTGGAAAAAGTGAACGTGAATGGCTGTGGAAAAGCTCCCGCTGGCCAGAACAGCAAAATGAAGGGGGGATAGGGAGTGAGGTGGGACACCCCTTCCCCAACTCGAGTCGTGACAAGAGAGAGAGGTGTCGAACCGCTGACCGGGGCAACGATGAAGGGGCGGTGGGGTGCATTGTTTAACGGGACACCCCCTCTGGTTCCTTTGAAAAGGGGGGAAGGGAGTGAGGTGGACACCCCTCTCCCCCCTGCTTGAGAAGTCGTAACAAAAGAAAGCTTGAACCGAATGGATCTCCGTAGGGCATCGGTTTACACCTCCTGGTGCGGGGGGGGTGTCCTTCCCCTTTAAGAAATACGGGTCCACCAACGTCATGACGCGGAACTGGACGCCGCCTCCGGCCGCTTATTAACCGCCGCACGTGGCGTGCGGGCCCCTTTCCCCCTCTGCATTGGCTCTAGCACGGTCATGGCTGAATGTGCCCTATGCTTCAACGTCTACAGCCGGCTTGCGCCTCACCTGACGGCCGTTCACAAGGTGGCCAACTCGGACGAGAAGCGGCTGCTGCTCGCGCTGGCCGCCGGCCGCGTGGACACGCGGAAGACACCGTGCCCGGTCCCGGGCTGTCGCCGGACGCCAGCCCGCCTAGACAGGCACTTGAGGCAGCACGCGGAGCTCTTGACCTCGGGAAGGAAAGAGGCTATGGGGAGGGCGAAACGCCGGAAAGTAGCTCGGGAGTTGCAGTGGCTGCGGTCCACCCAGCCTGCAATCCCTGTCGTGTCCCAGCTAGCATCGTCCTCCGAGGGGGAGCGGGACTCGGAGGACCCAGAGGCCGGCCGCCCGTGCGCCGACCGCGGCTGCAGGCGCGCCACCGAGCGCATACAGGCTCAGCTCACGGACCTGGGGAAACAGGTTACCAAGATGCGGTCCACCCTGCTCCAGATCACACGCCTCTACCGGGAGCTGAGGAAGGGAGAAGGGGGGAGAAGGAGGAGGAAGAGGGCGAGGAGAACCAGGTCGCCTCCTGCACCACCGGCTCCCGGGCGAGGCGCGGCCGGAGGTCCGACGCCCCCCGAGCCTCCGGAGGCTTTGGAACCCTACCCGTTCCCGGACCACGTCCCCGCGCTGAGTTGAGTATATTTCAGGCACGTCACTGTCGCTCTGCTGGCTGTGTGCCTTCGGGGAAGTTGACTCTTGGTTGTGCTCGTTCCACAGACCTTCTCTTGGGGGAGTTCGAAGGGTACCAACTGGGCAGCGAGCCCACCGCGCGCCTGCGGAACAACGTCACTTCGAAGCTGGGGAGAATCAAAGCCTTCCTGGGTTACATGGCCAGGGGCACCGCGGAGCCAGGGGACTTCCTTTTCCTCAACCAACCAGCCCGAATCCGAGCGTGGGCCGCCCGGCTAGGTCAGACGCGCATGGCCGAGCCCACCAGGCAGCACTACCTGAAGAACGTGGCTCAGTTCCTAGACTACCTCTCGGAGACGCCGCCGGCCGCCTGTCAGCTCTCCAGCACGGCTCTGGTTCTGATTCGAAGGGAGGTCAGAGCCCTCATCCGCGGCATACGCCGGCGTGTCGTCGTGCACGAGGTAAGGACCAAGCAGGTGAAGGAAAGCCGACTGATCCCCAAGGCCAGTCTGGTGCGCTGTCACCGGACCGCTGGGAGGAAAATTCCCGCCCTGCTAGGTAAGCAAGCCCTTCCGCCGTTCCAGCGATTCCCCCTGTTCGTTCTTCCGGGGCACCAACAGCCCTTGGTTCATCCAGCCACGTCTGTCTGCCCCTCTCCCCCGCGAATGGGACTCATTCGGGGGGGAAGGGGGGCAGACCGACGTGGCTGGATGAACCAACAGCTGCTGGTGGCCCGGAGAGGAGTTGTGCGTTTCTTCTTCAGGGGCACCAGCAGTCCATGAACTGCTGGTGCCCCTGAAGAAGAAACGCACATTTCCTCTCCGGGCCACCAGCAGCTGTTGTTTGAGCTGCTGGCGCCCCGGAGTACAAGTCACCAGCAGCCAAGAGCTGTTGGTGACCCAGAAAGGAAATAGAACCGTCGGTGGTCTAATCTGTCTAATGTCTTTCACCAGCTAGCCTCGAATCCAACCCAAGCACTAGGCAACAGTGGCGCTTCTATGGCTTTCTGACTGGCTACCTAACCTCCATCTCTGGGCACCGCTGTGGAGTCTTCCAGAATCTCACAATCCAGGAGGTTGAAGAGGCCTCCAGAAGCCCCGACGAGTCTGCTTATGTCATTAACGTGAGTATGGCGCAAGTAAGGTGGGGGTCACCAGTAGCATGCTCTCTCTCTCACTCACTCACTCACTCACTCACTCACTCACTGCTTGTTCTCTGATGGCAGATTACCACTCACAAAACAAACAGAGCCTTTGGGGCGGCTCAGCTGTCCCTAAACAGGGAGGAATACAGCTGGTTCCGCAGGTTTTTGGCGCTGCGGGCTGGTCTCCCCGGAGGGAGCCAGGCTACCTATTTCTTTTTCACTTCCAGAGCCAGTCCTTGTCGGACCCTGAACAAGTACTTTCAGTCTGCTTGGCTCAGTATGGGCCTTCCAGGCAAACCCACCTTTACTGACGTACGCACTGCGATCGCGACTCATGTGAGTAGGCATTGTGACGCCCCTGTAACTACCAGCGGCGGCTTCTATCCTAATCAAGCTTCTGTCTCTCTCCGACGCAGGCAAAGAATGCACACTCTTCAGAGGATCGCCGCAAGGTGGCGCAATTCATGTGCCATGACACTTCAACCTCAGATAAGTTCTACGCACTTCACCTCGGACCTCTCCAAGCACGCGAGCGCCGCAGACTCTTTGAAAGGGCCCTGGTGGAGGAGGAGGAGGAGGAGGAGGATGGGGAGGCAGCGGGCACTGAAAGCCCCCCGCGGAAAGGGCGCAAGAGGACAGAGACTTCCGTCTCTCCCCTGGTAAAAATCACATTCTCTTTGGCGTGGACAGCAGAACGTATGGCATTGGCTAACTTCCCTTTATGTGTCTCTTTTCCAGGAGGGAACCAGCAGGAGGACGCTGCCATGGCGCCCTGCCAAAGGGAAAAGCCAGGGCGCTCGCCCGCTCGAACAAACAGAAGACTCTGAATCGTCCTGAATAAATATTGTACAACTTAACGGTCAAATGGTGTTCAGTGTCTTCATTATTCCTTTTATTTATTATCTGTGTGGTAAAAGTAAATTCAGTGGGGACAAAAATGAGCCCTGTCTTCTTAGTTCAACGCTGTATGCCTGCTGCGTCCAGGTCCTGCCTTGGCTACGTTCCGATTGGGACAGATTAGCCCTAACTTGTGTGTTAAAAGTGTCACGTGGGATGCCCTCGTCCAGGTTCTGCCTTGGCTACGTTCCAATTGGGACAAACTATCCCTGCCTTGAGTGTTAAAAGTGACTCGCGGGACGCCCCCGTCCAGGTTCAGCCTTGGTTGATAGCTCATAGGGAGAATGAATCCCTTTTCCAGCACAAGGGGGTGATGGGCTGGACAAATCTGTCCAGGTCTGCAAATGCTTTGAACGCCCAGAAGGCCTTGAGTCCAATTCTGTATATTAGCAAGCTTCTCCCGGGACAGCTCGGTCCTTAGAGATGCATGAATAGGTCAGGACAGGGCAGCTGTGGAGTGGAGGTTAACTTTATGGAGGAAGCACCAGGATAGTCCAGTATATGAAGTTCAACCCAAACAGAGCAAAGGAAAAACAAGAATACTGCACAGGAACTTGTTACTACCATGTGATTACTTACCTGCTGCAATGGAACATCTACCTGGAGGTCCTGGAAAAGGAAACATAGAGAAAAAGAAAGTCAGGTAAAAAAAATCAATTCCACAAAGTTGTACATACATTGACAGTTCAGATGGAGAGGATGATTGAAGAAGTCTGGTTGGAATGCCAAATGACAGAGAAAGTGGAAGGCACCATCACTGCCAAAAATCAAAACCTTCAGAACCTTATCCAGAGGATACAACGATGGTAAACACTGAGGATTCAGAAAGAAAAGATGAGCAAGGAGCAGAACAGGATGTAGAGGATGTGTCATCAAGAGGTGACGTTAGGGACACAGAGGATGCTGAACAGATTGACTCAAACAAGTCTTTGCAACCTGCTTGCAGAAAAGCATATCCTTTGAGAAACAGAAAAGCAAAAAAAGTGTTTACTTACCATAGTGTAGTATTAGATTATTTTATCAAAAGCTAATCCCTCCCCCACCCAAATAATTTTTTTTTTGTTGTCCTTAATAACTGTTTAATATGTTTAACTATTGGGCCATTGCATGTATAGTGTTTGTATACTTACAGCAATGCGATGAGTGTCCTGCAGGTGGCAGTAGCTCTGTGGAGAATACCTGCATGGGCAGACCGGAGAAAAAGGATGAGAAAGAGTCTTGGCTTCCGTAATGTATAGGAGTAGCACTGTTGTTGTGTACGGAGCTCTAGCAAAATCTGTATCCGTTAACTACGCTGACTGAATAAAAGAACCCAAGTTCATCACATGCTTGTTGTCTTCTTCAAGTGTGTTACAATATGAATAAAGATTGATGCAGTTTAGGGAAGAGATTGTGATACAAAGGAGGAAGCCTCATAAAATTAATTGAAAACATTGCATTTGAAAGACACGGATTGAAGAGGCAGAATAATATAATAGTTAAACATTTTTTTAAAATTGATCTATGTGTGTTTGAAGCGTTATAAGTGTTAACTATAGGCAGAGAGTGTACTGAAATTCATGACATCTTGACAGTTGAAAGAAAGTCTGCTTCAGGAGAGGTAAGAATCTTTATATTTAGAGAACAAAACCTCCACAGGGCACATAGACACATCAAAAGAGAGTAAATATATAAGTTATTAAATAAATAGATCTATTATAAAGTAGTATAATAAGTGAAATAAGAAAATACCAACGATAGGGTAAGATATAATAAAGTATAAAATGCAACTATAAGCTATACTAATATATCAGGAAATAAAAATTAAGCCATAGTAATAACTACATATGGATATAAATTGTTATATTAATAAAGAATTAAATTTACAAAAAAATTAATAAGTATAAATAATAAGGACTGTTTTCAGATATCTCGACTTTACTATGTTAATAAAGTCTATTGTTTGGTGTTTAAAACCTCCCATCTGATTCATCATTGATTAATGAAAAGGCTAGCGACTATGACAGTACGTTAGCCAACGAAGTTAACAGCTGTATATCTTGCATGAACAATGCAGTTAATGAATTATTGCTTCTAGGTAACAGTCTTTTAGTCTGTAAAGCTGTAAAGCATTTTGGAAAACATGAAGTATTGTTTTTATTGTAACTACAAGATCTTTATCTCGTAGCCTCTGTTTTATTTAACTCTGTTAAATTGTGCCTCTGTTTTATTTAATGTGCAATTTTTCACATCTTTGGTTGAAGAAAGATGTTTTGTTAAAACACAGCCTCATACTGTAACTATGGGGAGTGACACTGACAACAGAAGTTTTGGATCCACATGCAGGTTTATTCAAAGTCAGGCAAGCGATGGTCAACACAGGTGCAAACAGATATTTGGAGACAGTCCAGAATCACAGTTGAATACAGGCTAGAGGTCAGAAAGGCAGGCGGCAGGCAAAGACAAAGCGACTTACAAGGCTAACGGTCGGTGCACAAGATAACAAGACTGGGGAAAAGACGTTGTAGTGTTACTAGTGACAAATAACAAGACTCGGCAATGTGAATGAGTGTGTGTGCTGCTCAAATACTGTGTGTAATCTGTCTTTGACAATCCTCAGGTGGTGAGAGTGTAATCAGTCTAAATGAGGAAGCAGGTGTGGCATGACTGAATATGTAGTCCATTTACAAGCAGATTTGTAGTTCTATGAGAGTGAATGTTTTCCAGCGACCTCTGGTGGTTAGAGGTCGCTGGTGATTGTGACACATACAATGCTAAATCCAATGATAAGATCAGGTGTGTATAATTCTGGTGACTGATCAAAGACCGTTTGGAGAACTCACTGTAGAAGACCCTTATGCCGAGTTCAGACTGCATGATTTTCAAAGTAGTCGTGTCACAGATGTTTTCACATTGCATGACTATCTGGGCTAGCATTCGTCGCTGCTTTCTTTACACTGCAAGATGGATCGGCGACAAGGACATTCACATTGCATGACTTTACTATAGGAATAATCGCCAACAACTTCGTCCAAACTACGTCTCACAGCCAAAAACACGTAGTATATCTTTTGTGGTATTAACTACATAATGAGAAAGAAGCCTTTAATGGGGTAGAAAATGTACATATTTGCTCACCTGGGTTTAAAGGGAATTAGCCATTTCTCCTCAACGTTGATAATAAACTAATTTCTTTCTGTATGAAACGTCAAACAGACACGGTTGCTCCTGAGTTCTGTCAAACCTCCACTAGTTTTTCCTCCATTTCGTGGGTCCAAATAAACCAAGAAAAGAGCGCTTTTAACTTCTCCCCCAGCCTCCTGCTGACCTGCACACACAAGTGAAAGCTGCTCTCTCATTGGCTGTAGGCGATCGCGGATGTTATTTTCAGTCAAAACTCATTTCAAGTGGCATGATTTGAATCGCCGACAGCTCCAGATATTTAGCATGCCAAATATCTCGCAGGCATCGGCGACTCATCGGCAATTCTCTCAGATCGCGTCTTTGATAGTTCATACTGTGTGATTGTCACTCACGTGCACGAGCAGCGATTTGCCTGTAATTTCAGGCATTTGTTGGCGATTTCTCAAAACCTGTCGGCGAGCCAAATTCGGAGCTAAAATCACGCAGTCTGAACAAGGCATTAGATTTGACACCAAGGTGTATATCTTACAGTGGCTCATGCTTTGATTGGCAGAAAGGAAGTCTTTGGCATCTCAGGTTACCACCTAACAATTCCATTCTCTTCTCCATGTTTGAGGCAGATAGGATCTTGCATGTTGCTAGCAGCTGTTCTTTAAGGAATTTTCATTGGTAAACCTGAGATGATAACAAATACAAAGAGAACCAAAATTAATTTAGAATTCTTGCAATACAATTCTGGATGCCACATTATGTCATTGGTCAAATCTGAATTGCTGTAGTTGTTTCAGCACATTATGAGTGTGTAACACATGAAAACTGCTCTTGTTGAGTTTACACTAGGGCTGCACGATATTGGAAAAAATTGACATTGCGATATTTTTTTCCCTGCGATATATATTGCGATATATATATATATATAT